TTCAGTGTTTCAAGTAACACAGGAAGAAACAGCGGCAAAGTCTACGTATTCAACATCGTAGCACCAAAAATCCATGTCTTTCACGCATGGGGGACTTTATCTTGATCCCTAATTAGAGATAAGTCTGCATCTAATACATGCTGCCGGGTAACCTATTCTCGCAATAATGGCAAAGCCTATGTATTCAATATTATGGCAGATCATTATTAATAACGCCAAAATCCGTGCCTTACACGCACGGGAAACTTTATCTCAAATCATAAGTAGGGATAAGCCTACGCCTAACACGCGTTGCCTGTTAGTCTTTTGCCGCGAAAAAGACACCAAAGGCCATGCCTCACATGCATGAGGAACTTTATCCCAAATCCTAAGTAGGAATAAGCCTACGCCTAACACGCGTTGCCGGTTAGTCTTTTGCCGTGAAAAAGACACCAAAGGCCATGCCTCACATGCATGGGGAACTTTATCCCAAATCTTAAGTTAGGATAAGTCTACGCCTAACACGCGTTGCTGGTTAGTCTTTCTCCGTGAAAAAAGACACCAGAATCTACGTCTGGGGGACTTTATCTCGATCCCTAAATAGAGATAAGTCTATGCCTAATACGCATTACCGGTTAGTCTTTCTCCGTGAAAATGACAAAGTCTATGTATTCAAAATCATAGCATCATGTCTAAGAGAGTTTATTCTTTTAGCACAACGTTACATGTGAAATGGATTTAAATAATTCATATGCTAGCCCGACTCAAACGGTAGTCGGTAAAGGCTTATCAAATCCGTTGATGATTGAGGGTTTGCCAAAGATCCTATGAATGTTTGCGGGACCATCAGCTAAATAGAGGTGAGCCATGACGTGACGTTTGATAGTTTCTGCTCATGAGTAGCTTGTACCGTCGCTACAATTTCTATTTGAAGCTCATCATCACACAGGTCCTGCGTGGAAAATTCCTTCAACCAAGATGCCTTCGAAGTGGGTGCAAAGAACAACTCCTTATGATAAGGAATCAATAGCTCAAAGATCAGAGTTAAGATCCAAAGTATTCTGAAAATTTTTCTCAGTCAATCGTGAACTTTTAAAAACTTTGGAGGTGGTTCTGTAGGCTGTCTAAAAATTACTACAGATACCTAATCTTCATAAAACACCGATGATGGAAGTTACAATTTGACGACTTCCAGAAGATTATAATTTGAATATTTTCACGTAGATCGATGAAGATTACAATCTGATGACCTTTACAATAACCAATGAAAGCTCTAATCAATAGTCTTCACAATCAACAGCGAGAGTTACAACCTGATGACTCTCACATATCAAAGAGCTGAAGCAAAGATTACAAAACGATGATTTTTGTAACGTTGTGATAAAAAGAGACTACAAATTAACAGTCTCCTCAAACCAAGACGCGGAAGTCCTCCCCACGTTTCAGCATCAAGACGCAGCGCCAATTCAACCACGGACGCAGCTCCTTATCAGCCATCACTAACGTATCTCAAGCCCACGGACCAAGCTCATGCTCGGCCGCAAACGCAGCCTCCGAAAGCTGCCAACGCAGCTTCCATCCTCTGCCAAACGCAGCTCTTAAATGCTGCCAACGCAGCTTCTAACAAGCTGCCAACACAGCTTCCAGACGCTACAAATAAGCTTCCAAACGCTGCGTCCGAGCTTCCAGATGCTGCGTTCGAGCTTTCAGGCACTACGTTTGAACACATAAGTCACGTCAGAACGTGGATTTTGTGTTTGACTCGTTCAAATATGAGCTGAATGGTTTCAAAACCGTTTCCCATGATATGAAGGGATCACAACTCCACTCAGGAGTGATTTAAGGGGGTCGGTTACATCCCATAAGCCCCACTTAAGAGCGAATTAAGGGGACGGTTACACCCCTTAATCCCCTATAAATAACTAAGAAATCGACTTAGTTCGGATCCTTTGGCTGGGCAACAAAAGAGGCGGAGAAAGGGGGATATATCTTTGGATCTTGGAGAATTTTAGAGATCTAGAGATTGGATTCTTCGGATCATCTTCTCGGTAACAAATTCTTGGGGCTATCTTCATGCTTGGCTTGTCTAACCAATTTTGGTTAAGATCAATCAACTCTTTTACAAGAGTTTAAACTCGCTCTGAGTTATCAACTCATTCAGAGTTTCAAACTTACCACACAAGTCCTCCATAGCATCAAATCGTGAGGAGAATATACTGTTCCAGTGAAACAAGATGTTCGGATCGTCAACGAGAAGCAAACTCGACGCGAGCATTCGAGGTAGGCATCTCATCGCTACTGTAAAGAACCCAGTATTAAACAAAGGGGAGAATTTACATCAATTCTCTTCTCTTTTGTAATCGAAAATCTAAATTGTAATTAAGATCTAGAGAATACAAATCAAATTTTTTTTATTTTATTTACTACAAAATTTTCACAAACAGAAGTGACATCCTCGATTCATTCCTGTATATTCAATTTTTGGTTGTATACAAGGTTGAACTGAACTTCTGAGACTTGTGATCATGACCGAACCCCTTAGCCATGAACCGAGATATCTAGGGCTTCAATTTGAATTGGTGATGCCTTATAGGTTTAATTGGGCCCTTAATCGGAAAATTCTATTTTTATAGAATTTTAATTAAGTTTCACAATTTTCCTTTTAATCTCTGATTTGCGTATATGAATTCTTGATCTAATTGAACTGTTGTCTTGCATTATAGATTAGCTATATCAATGAGGAGATCGCGTATCCTGAGGGGTCGCTCGGCCACTAAGTCACTTGAGCAGGATCCTTTATCTTTTGTAGATGAGCTTCTGCCACTTTTGCACGTGAACTCTGCATTAATATATACATTGTGTTGCATATTGTATCCTCACTTTGTTCTCCTTGGTGAGGTAATTAGGAAGAGATGACATCCTTCTTCGTGAGGGTTGACACTTCACAGATGTGTTTTGCTTGGTCAAAATGTGTCTTAAGGCAATAATGGGTGATTTCATGTCGTATCGTGTCCTATAGGATGGGGTATATTGTCATGTTATCATCGTGATAATGTACGTTATCCTGCGTGTGCGCAATACCATTGAAATCGTCTCTCCAATTACAAGGTGATGACTCTATCTCATGGACTCATGAGATGAGTTCAACGTCTTGTATTGTTTTAACATAATTTTGTTTAACAAATACAAGTTATTTGTTTCAGTTGAATACCCTGCGACTGCATTTTCCCCTTTCGAGATAGATGGTCGCATGGGTGAGCATTATGCCACCGTTGACGACCCAACATTCGTCCTGCCAACTCTTCAATTTTCTTTGAACATTCCTGAGGAATTCTCTCAATTGGTGTGAGAGGGACATCATCGTACTTTGCGTTAGCTATTTACCAGCACACCATGTTTGGTGGAAAATTTGTAATAAGAAAATAAAAGAATTAAATATGATTTATTCCCTCTAACTGCTTAGAAAAAGAATGTTTACAACTCTCTCGATCTCTTACTAATTACAATTTGAATTTCTGATTACAAAAGAGAAGAGGATCAATATAAATTATCTCCTTTGTTTAATTATGGGTTCTTCACAGTGGCGATGAAGTGCCTCCCTCGAATGCTCACGTCGAGTTTGCTCTCCGTTGACGATCTTAACGTCTCCCTTTACTAGAACAATAAACTTGCATAATAAGTATGAAAAGAACTCTTAACGAGTTTGTGAACTTCAGAGCGAGTTTTAAACTCTGTGAAAAGAGTTGTTTGAACCGAAAATTTGGTTAATAGCCAAGTGAATTTGCCGTTGCTGAAGGATGCCTCAAGATCTCTTAGTTGCCAAGAAGTTCTCTCTAGCCGATCTCCTCGTGATTTTATCTGATCGAACAGGCCAGCCCCTAACTCTGTTGAGTTTATTAAGATTTATAAGAAGATTAGGGGTGTAACTGACCCCCTAATCTGCTCCTAAGCGGGCGAGATTCCCTCAAATCATGGGAAAAACAGTTTTAAAACCGTTCAGCTCATGTTTGAATGAGTCAAACGCCGAGGTCGGCGTTCTGGTCCTTGACTCTGCGTCTTAGGCTTGAGACGCAGAGTTGGGCGTCTGCTGAAGATTGAAAATGCAGAGGCCGCCTGTGTTTTGAAAATTGAACGAAAGGTGAACTCTGCGTTTAGAAGTGGTTGTTGACTTGTAACCTCCTCTATTGGAGTATTTTCAAAGATCGTTATTCTGTAATCTTCGCTTTAGCTCTTTGGAGTGTGAGAGTTATCAGATTGTAACTCTCACAGTTGATTGTGAAGGCTATTGAATCAGAGCTTTCATCAGTCATCATGAAGGTCGTTGAATTATAACCTTTCTCGATCTACGTGAAAATTCTCTAATTACAGCTTTCGTTTTGTTGACGTGAAAGCCGTCTGATTGTAACTTTCATTGTTAATATATTGATTGAAGTTTGATAGGGGTCAGCTATCTGTTATGATTTTTAGACAGCCTACAGAATACCCTCCAAAGTTTTTAAAAGTTCGCGGTTGACTGAGATGAATTTTCGGAATACTTTGGATCCTAAAATTTATTGAATGATCATTCACTCCGTCTGATTCGTAGACATTGCGAACCTAATTGTTGGAATGTTGTAATTTTGCTTCCTTAAACCAAACAAGATAACTTTTGTACCTTGATGACAATGACCTTAGTCAAACAAGCTAAAGCTCAAGTTATCGTTGCATGGCTGATTGTTTACTTCGTCTGTTTCGGAGGCATTATGAATTTGGTTGCTAGAATTTGTTACACGCTGCAATTCTGCTTCCTGTATTGGCTATTCCTTGTAATCTCTTTTGGTAACAGTTAATCTCATACTCCCGATGAATGTGTAGAAATAGTTAATGTAATTCTGATCACCTTAAACCAAACAAGGTAATTTTTGTGTCTTGATGACAATAAACTTAGACAAACAAGCTAAAGTCCAAGTCATCATTGTTAGATCCATTAGTAGGATTAACTTTTTCCTCTTCTTCGGCATCAAGAATAACAGCATTCTCAGTCATACAATAGAAGAGGGAACTTTTGAAGTTAATTTGCTTGGATCCTTGAGATACTCCTTCAACTTGTATGAAGGTGCATTTAGTGTCAACAACACCGGCAAAAATATTCTTGTAAGTATTGATGAGCACCCAAGCACAACTGCAAGAGTTAGATAAGAAAGAACCAGTGATGACGAAGCAACCATAGAAACAACAGCTGTAAACTTATCAATAAGGTCATCCTCAATGGAATTAAGCACATTTGGGATGAAGACAGATCCATTGTCATAAACAGAGAGAACCACAAGCCCGCATGAGAAGGATCTTATCCCAAGTTTGGCTAGGAGAGCAACCTCAGAAGAAGTCACTTTGTCTCCTTTCTTGATCAACTAAATTGGGTAACGATTTCAACAATATCCTTGTTAATCTTGGTTGGAATGTTAAACCATTTGGAAGGATGAGTTGCGTAATGAATCGAGCTTGATAATATCAGCATTATTGATTATAACATGTCTGTACTCATCCAAGAGGTTGCATAGCTTTTTGTCATAGGATAGTTTCTTCTCGACTTTCATCACATTGATGGCTATTGTTAGCTTCTTTCTAATTATTTGAAGCTGTATGATAGCCCTGGTGGTTGAAGTATTTGCTTTATGGTGTTGAAACGCACAAGTGAATCCTATGCTTGGGATTTGGGACGCAGAGGTGAGCTTTGCGTCAGAAGTTCAACCAACTTCAACATGAATGTAAAGGTCGTGTTTAGACGAGATTCTTATCTAGAATCTTGTTCTGATTTGACAGCTCACAACTATCTATAAATAGACCGCTGTGGTCAAATCAAGGGTCATTCGACTCTTCTTCGTTCTTCCCCGAACCATTTAACAAAAGCTCTTTGTTTTAAACTATGAAGAATTCTATTCATCTTCTCGCTCATCCTCATCAATGGTGCCTAGGAAGAAGACCATATCTCGACCCAGGCTCGCTATCGCTATGGCTCAGAGTTAGCTGTCGGCTTTGACTGCCTACGGCGCTGTGGTTCAGGCAGATGCGTCGCCACCTCAGTTCCCTTTCGTTGGTGGTAAGTGTGGCTTTCGTGATCATAAAACTTTCTTCAGCACGTTCTGACCTTTGAACAATGAAGAAAATTGTTTTAATAGTACAACGCAAAGTTGGTACTCTGTCGTTTGGAATTTGAAGTGTGGGGGTTTGACCTTTGCACTCGAATTTTGTAACGTAGGGCTTGGACTCTGTGTTTGAATGTTTAACGCAGGGTCTGATCTCTGCATTTGAATATTGTAATGCAGGGCTTAGACTCTGTGTTTGAATATTTGTAACGTAGGGTTTGGACTCTGTGTTTGAATGTTTAAAGCAGGGTCCGGCCTCTGCATTTGAATATTATAACGTAGGGCTTGGACTCTGCGTTTGAATGTTTGTAACGCAAGGCTTGGACTCTGCGTTTGAATATTTAATGTAGGGTTTGACCTCTGTGTTTGAATATTGTAATGCAGGGCTTGTACTCTGCATTTGAATGTTTGTAACGCAGGGCTTGGACTCTGCATTTGAATGTTTGTAATACAGGACTTGAACTCTGTGTATGAATATTTAACACATAGTTTGACCTCTACGTTTGAATATTGTAACGCATGGCTTGGACTTTGCATTTGAATGTTTTTAACGCGGGGCTTGGACTCTGTGTTTGAATATTTAACACAGGATTTGACCTCTATGTTTGAATATTGTAACGCAGGGCTTGGACTCTGCGTTTGAACGTTTGTAACGTAAGGCTTGGACTTTGCGTTTGAATGTTTGAAACACAGGGCTTGGACTCTGCGTTTGAATGTTTAACGCGGGCTTGTACTCTGCGTTTGAATGTTTAATGCAGGGTCTGACCTCTACGTTTGAATGTTGTAATGTAGGGCTTGGACTCTGCATTTGAATGTTTGACGCAGGGTCTGACTTCTGCGTTTGAATGTTTTAACGTAGGGTTCAGCCTCTGCGTTTGAATGTTTTAACGCAGGGTCCAGCCTCTGCGTTTGAATGTTTTAACACAGGGTCCAGCCTCTGCATTTGAATGTTTTAACGTAGGGTCCAGCCTCTGCATTTGAATGTTTTAACGTAGGGTCTGACCACTGCGTTTGAATGATCTAACAAGGGGTTCGACCTCTGCAATTGAGTTTTGTCTTTCGTGCTTCATCTTTGTACTAACTGATTGCTCTTTTCCTTGGTAGTGCCTTATGCTAATAAACCCCTCACTTTTCGCCATCAATTTTGTCATGAAGGTGGTGTAGACTTAAATATGCAATTTAATCTGCGTCGGGAACTCCTGACTTTTCTAGATGCTGATAAGGAACGTGCCACTTTGATCACCCAAGCTAGCCTGGCCGTACTTAGGACTTTAGTTACAGATGCCCAGTTTGAAATTGATTCTCGTACGAAATTCACTAAGACAACATTCTTGTTTGGGTATAACGTTGTCATTCAGAAAGACATCACATATGGTGGAAATTACAAGTGGTTAAGACAGATAGGGGATCGCTACTTTTTCCTTCCTGACATGCAGAGGATGTTCCCTATCTCATATTATCAATGTGCTTCCGTCTCCAGACATGAATTAGGATCTTGTTAGAGAACAGGATGGAGTAGCAATTAGGACTCTGACTTTTACTGGCGTGCATACCGTAGGCTACAACCAACATGTGTCAGCTTTAGAGCCATGCTTATTCTCAAAAGGGTACCCTATGGGGAAAACAGCTAGTCTAGCCAACACCTTCATGCAGAGATTTTTGATTGTGAAAGGAGATTCTCCTTCTTTAGTGTTTAGAACTCCCGGATGAGTACATTTCACCAGTACAGGATGATGGAAAAGAATGACAGAATTTGTATTGAAAGAGTTAGAGGGGTTGTTAGCTCAATCTGGGCTCGGCTGCCCTATAATGGCTACCAGATATGGTATTGATCATAGCCATTACAATTTCTATGCTATCCTCGAGTGGTACAATCCAGAGACGTGTACATTCTTCACTCCGGTTAGGGAATTAGGGTTTGCTATCCATGAAATATATGACGTTTCTGACCTTCCCTTCGGAGATTTACCCTATGAAGAGTTTATCACAGGGTCGAGTGAGCTTAGGATTTTGAAGGAGACCAGCCCTGAGATCTATGACACTCTATGGAAGGTGATGTGTCATTTCCAAATCTGTACGCAACTGACGAGGACACGATGAGGTGGCATAAAACAACTATCTTGGGTCGAATATCTCTTCCAGAATTTATCTCACAAAGTTGACGCTGTGTCTTGTCGAGATGTGAGCACTCCTGAGACTATTCAAGCTTTGATCAATGACGCTACAGCTCATTATGTTAATGAGGGAAGAGAAGACGGCTTCCCTGCTTAGACTGAGTTCGAAAGCTTCCACCACCAAGCTACCACTCCCATATCTGACATGGCTTTGCTAGCGGGTTTTCTCATGTTATGTCTAAAATGATGCGTCGTCCCCACTAGACCGATAGATGTCGTGATAGCAGAAGTAGTCTATCCTGCTATTCTCTTGGCCTATGGGAGACATCTGAATTTACTTTCAGCCATGGTGTACTATTTGCAGTATGATCTGAGGGAGCTATGCCTCGAATTCATTCAGGTGAAAGAGATAGGCTCCGAAGGGAAGAAAAGTTTGGTAACTCCCAATCCTCGAGTACCATTGCCATATACCTATCTGATGGCATGGTATGTATCTCATTGTCCTCACCTAATGAGTGCACCATCTTCCTCTGGCGATGTATTCGTCCCCTTCGTACAAAGGTTAGAAAAATCCACTTAGGAAGGAACGTACGTAGTAAGGGTTCATCAAATCTTATCGAGAGATCTCAACTATTATATATTATGTTGCTTCTCAAACTTTGAAGGTGGGGTATATGGACAGGTATTTTATAACACAGCTGGCCCGAATGGTTTCACTTGATTAGATAGAGGAGTCTTCCACTGGTTACTCAAAATCAGACCAGGTTATTTCCTTTTTAGGCAGAGTGAGAAGTGTATAATTAAGTCGTACATACTATACAGGTTCGCCCGACAGTTCGGGTACGATCAATTATATATTAGGAATCCACGGGGTCAGCTTGCGGCCATTGGTAATCTATATGAAGGAGCTCGGGCTTGGTACTATTCTATAGCAGGCTGCACTAGAGCTACATTCAGATTACCTCACAATACACCCAACTCTTTCACCTCCATGGCTTTCTGCAATTGGTATCACACAGCTTCTAAGAGGCCTAATTACAAGCTAAATTTGTCTAGCTTATGGGAAATTAGAAAATTGTATTCATCTAGAAAAGGATCCCGAGTATCTCGTCTGAAAGGAATCAGCGAGTTCTTATCCTATGAGGATGAAGCTGAAGAAGAAGAAGAAGACCAGGGACTAGAGAGTGCTCAAGAAGGAAGTCTTAAGGCTGCCGAAACTCTGAGAACAAGGGAAGTTAGAAAAAGGGCTCTTACTGAGGAGGAAGTGGGTCAGTACGAGAAACGTACCCATAGAAAATTATTAGTAGATTCTTCTTCGTAAAAATTGATGGCGGATGCTTTCAAATCTGCTGCGAGAGAGGAAAGATAGGAATATGTCGCCACAAGTCTTCCCCTCTGCATTGGACTCCGCTCCGTGGGTATTGTTTCATCAAGTGGGTTTTCTTCCTATCACCCTTCGGATGAGGAAGAAGGCGAAGGTGAATCACTTATTGGGGATGCAGAATCTTTCTCCACAATGAACCATGTTGCTTCAACAGCTATATGTCAAGCTTCAGGTGACGTTCCTCCAATCACAGAGGTGATGCCTACAATATCTCAATCTGAAGTGGTTAGGGCTCCCGTAGATGAGCCTATAGTGGTTGAACTTGAAAATTTTGGTGGAAATCAATCTCCTGCCACTTTGGTGTTAATGCCACCTATAGGGGATACGATCCCTAGTCTGACAACAGGAATCATGACTAAGACAACTGCGGTTGTGAGTTCCCCTGGACCTTCGGCTGCAGATGATAAGGAGGAAGTGGATTATGATACCCCTTCCCATGGCGACGATGCTAATGAGGGGGAAGATGATAATGATGACAATCTTGGTGATTGGGATGTTCTACCACCGCTTTCTTCTGACAAGGCGTCGGCTTACATCCCTCCTTCTCCCATCAGTAAGTGTTGTCAACTCTGAACTTTCTGGTATCTTCCTTTTTGTATACTAACTATTTTCTTGTGTAGGATCTCTGACTCACGAGGTCACTGACATGACTCCGTCTCTTGAACAACAGGTAGTCACAACTTCTCTCTCAAAGTAGGCACTAATAGCGGCAATTCTTTCGCAAGAGAAGTCACCTCCGTTAACTATTTCCCTGAAAACTGCAAAAACGGGGAGTACACCCAACTCAACTCGAGTGGAATTGCTCATGGCTCCCCCTTCAAGTCCTTCACAATTAGATGCGGTATTGCCTTCTCC